GCTCGTTTGTGTTGATTCGTTAAGCAATTTTATTTTATTTGTTTATTTTTCAATTAATAATTTCATATAATATTAAAAATATGTCTTTGTAACAAATATTTATGAACAAACCTCGAGCTCGTTCGTTAGTAAAATGAACATATTTATATTGTTCGCCTCGAATCGTTTACATTAACGAATGAGTTTAAGCCAAGTTAAACCAAGTCGAACTGAACCAAATTTACGAGCAAAATAATTCATTTATCCAACTGTACTACTAAAAAGTAGTTACTCATGTTGACTAGCCTAACTAACAATCTATCGGTCTCATTTCAACATATATCTTTCGTCATTATTCAATACATATGTCTCATAAATTTAATATGTTCCGTCCATAATTTTGTTGAGATGTATAAGTATATTTCCTTTGTTCCAACTTAAAGTATCTTTTTAACTTTTTTTTGTTTATTTCACTCAAAAAGTATCTTTCTTATTATAATAAAAGTAATCATATACTAATAATAAAAATTTTTTTAAAATTTTTTTACATAAATTACAAGCATACTATTATTACACATACAATTAATTTATACATCAAATATAAATGACAAAAATATCAAAATTATCTATACGCTTTCATTAATTAATAAAATATTATTATTTTTAAATCTACTCTAAAACCCTTAAGAACCTCTTTGAATTGGAACAAAAGAAATATTTTCATAACCCCGACGCCTCAAGTTACCTGCTACACATGGTTCGCCTAGTGTGACTTTCTCGTCGAACCTGGTTTTCAGGGTATTGGGTTCGACCGAGGGTTTACCCAGTGTGCACTTTTGGGTAGCGACTGCGAATTCCCACGTCATAAAAAAATAAAAAAAAATATATACATTTTCATATATCCACTATGTCCTACCTATGAATAAATAGTGACTTTATTATTCAAATATTATTCGAAATTTTAGGAAGTTATAACTTCACATATACAAGATATAGTTAATCACGCAAACTATTAGATTCAATCGGAATTTACCAAAACACATTCAAAGAGTAACTGTTCAGGATTTTCACGTCATGAATATATATAGTTAAACACTATCCATCCAAAGTTCAATATATATATATATATATATATTCGTTACAATATGTCAATTTTTTAGTCAACATATTTAATCACATATAATTTAATAAATTCAAAGATTAATAAATCTATAATTACTAATATGCCTCTTATGCAATATAGACAGTTCAAATATAACATAAAATGATTGTTACCATATATATCATTTACACAAATTTATATAAGAAACAACAATTGTAAATTATGTCTTAAAATTCAAATATAATTTAGAAATTCTACGAAAAAATTATTTTAACATATATGATACTCCCTTCGTCCCACGTACCGTGTCTGCTACACTGTAGACACGGTATTTTAGAAGGGATGTAATTAGTAGATAATTAAGAATATATTAGTAAAAATAATCATCTTATAATATAAATAATTATAAATTAAGATTAAGATAACTAATTAGTTTAATTAAAATTTAAAAAAAAAATAAATTAAAAGGTTTAAAATGAAATTAAAGTGTGTAATCATTTTTCAAAAAAATAAAAGTGACATGGCATGCGGGACGAACAGAAACGGCAACGTGGACATGGTATGTGGGATGGAGGGAGTACTACAGTTAAAAATATACATTCAATTCAAATTTCAATTTATTTCTTTATTTATATATGTTCGTTGTGGTATGTTATGATTCAATATATTTTTAATTGCATTTAATTTAACAAATTAGAAGATTATAGAATTCATAATTACATCAAAATTAATATTATTTAGTCAATAGGTTCACCATATATTTTTTAATAAAAATAAATTAATTTTTCTCATAAAACATTTCGTAGAATATTTTTTAAATACTATTTTAATTAAATATTTTAATTTCAAATCAACATTCTTTTCAAATTAATTTAAATTGACAATTGAACAATATAAAACTCTTTATGTTATTCAAATTGATGTTCATTTTCTTTTTATTTTTTTGGTTAATAAAATATATACTATTTTTCTATTTTTTTACTATAAATAATAAAAAATAATAATTACTATCCATTTATATTAAAATTTATGTTCAACCACATATAAAAGTACGGATTTAAATGATCGAGGGGTATAAAATGATCGTCACCAGTCATATTATTTACACAAATTTATAAAAGAAACAACTGTAGTAAATAATATAAAATGAATATATATATATATACATCTTTTTTTTCTACTTTCGAAAACTAAATTTTAAAAATGATCTATTATCAAAAGTGGCTATGATTTTCAAAGTTAAATCGATTTGCAAATAATGTAACGCTTAGGTTATGCTAATTTAATTAATTTCAGAATTACTAAATTGTTATTTAAGGGAGCATTTAATGTGTAGATTTATTGTAAGATTGAAAAATAAAATTAAAAATTAAAAGTATTCATTACTGTATTTTAATATTGTCATTGTCCGTACTAATAAGCATTACTTTTGTATTAATTTCTGTTGATGTTACACAAAGGCTTCAAATTTTATTCAATTTTATATATTTGATATATTGCTTGAATTTTATTTATTTATTATTTATTACTACCTCGGTCCCCGTATTGAATATTTTGGTCAATGTAGACATGGAAATTTAGAATAAGTATAATTAATAGATAATTAAGAATATATTAGTAAAAATAATTAAATATCCCACACGTATACTCCATTATCACTTTTATTTTGTATTTATCTCGCTGGCAAAATATATCTTACATGTTTGCAAAAGTCGTTATTTTTATCCTTTGGCCGCTCGTGATTGCGCGTAAGGGCCCCTGGTGTGAATTTCACGCGCGGCCAAAGGATAGAAATAGCGACTTTTGCAAACATGTGAGATATATTTTGCCAATGAGATAAATACAAAATAAAAGTGACAATGGAGTATACGCGTGGGATATTTTTTGCAATATTCCCTATATATGTTGGGTATAAAAATAGAAATGAAAACATAAATTAACACACCTAAGTATTTTAGGACAAGCGGATAAAGCCCAAAAGAATCAAATGTATAATAGAATATGTTTGTAATAGAGCTAATAAAATAGATCAAGCCCAAAAGTAAATTCCAACTATATGGATTTCATTGGCAATTTAAAGGAATAAATATAAATACAATTATCATTAGGGATGATAAATGGGCGGATCCGCCCCGACCCATTCTTATTGACACGGATTTGGGTCTAAAAAATATGTTTCGAAAAGTATTGTGGATTTAAAATTTTAAATTCGATCGCATTAGGGACGGGTTAGGAATTTTATCAAAACCCGTTCCATCTTGAACCTGAACTTGAATTCGAATATTTTAATAATTATTAAAATTAATATATATTTATATAAATTATAATATTATATATTTAAAAAGATATGTATAATACAGAATTTTAATTTCTAAATTAAATTTATCTTTGTATTTGTTTCTTTCCCAATTATTTTCGCCTACCACCGAACGCCACCGCCCTCGCCACCACCAGTTGGTTGGTTGTTTGTTATATACAATATATATATATATATATCACTTTTGAATAATGTTAAAATTGAATGTTAGATTTTTTGAATTTTTATATATGTATTTGCGTTGTGTTTATATACTTTTATTTTATTTTTTATCGATCAATATTTTATTGTTTTTATTTTTTAAATTGGAATATTTTTTTTTGTAATTAAACGTTTTATTTTAGTATTAAATTGTTAAAAATATACTCCATTTTTTAATTTTTTTTTATAAATACAATTTTTCGGATTGGCCCGAACTCGACAGGTTAGGGGGGGGGGGGCAAGTCTTGGGGCAGGGCGGGGTCTTGTAGCCTAATATTTTTTAATGGGACAAATGAAAATAGTAAAAAGAATACTTTGAGTTGGAACGGTAGAGTATTTTCTACTGATATTTTTATAAATGTTTATATTTTATACTTTTTTGTTAGAATTTAAAGAGGTCGTTTGGAATTTTATTTTAGATTAAAAAATAATAATATTTTATTGATAAGTAGAAATATATAGGATGATTTTGATATTTTTTTTCTTTTGTACTCTCTCCGTCCCACATAATTTGTCCATATTTTTTATTTTCGTCCGTCCCACATAATTTGTCCTTTCTATTTTTGGAAATATAATTATACATTTTAATCGCATTTTAAATTTTAAATTTTATAATTTTCTTAATTTTAATTAAACTATTTACTTATCTTAATCTTAATCTTAATCTATAATTATTTTTACTAAATAATAATTATTTTTACTAATACATTTCTTAATTACTTACTAATTATACTTTACCTAAATTCTCGTGTCTACAGTAATACACCCATATATATTACATAGGACGGAGGGAATACTTTATATAAATAAATTAATTATATATAATAATATATTTTTCATTTATTTAAAAATTCAAGAATATTTAGTATTAATATATAATTACTTTTAATATAATAAATAAAATGATACTCCTCAGTCTCAAACACCCTCCAATATTAATTTTTTATGTCCCAAAACACACTATAATATTTTCAAAATAAAAAATAATTAATTATACTTAATTTTTCTGTCCCACATTTTATCATCTTACATCATCTAAATAAAAAAAATAAAATATACTTGACATCACCTAATTTCTAAATTATCTTATTTAATACTACCCACCTAAAAACCTGTGTCATGGAGGAAGTACTTTTTAATAGGAAGAACTAAAGTGATAAAAAAATATTTTGAGTTTGAAACAAAATAATTAAAAAAAAATACTTAAATTATACTGTAAATATAGCAAACATTAAATATGTTGAAAATATTAACAAGGGGTTCCTTTGACGTACTCGATATAAATTAGGGACCAATCTGCAATATCCGTTCCCTTTCCTCCAATCAAAATCTAAATCCACCGACTTTGCGTACGTGTCTTTACAACCGCCATTCTGATAAGCTTTAAATACCGAATCCGATTCTCGTCGATCCGCCTTTGCTGACACTTGGAATCCTTTCCCGTCGTCCCCAAATTTCTCAAACCCTAAAACCAGATAAATCTCGTATTGTCTCGATTCGATCCAAGGATGCTGAGGCACGTAACCAGCAGGATTCTTGCTCAAGGGCGAGCTTCCGCCGCGACGCCGGCGCCGGCGCTGCGCATGTACCACGAGAGGGTGGTGGATCACTACAACAATCCGAGGAACGTTGGCTCGTTTGAGAAGAACGATCCTGACGTCGGAACGGGTCTCGTCGGAGCTCCAGCTTGTGGCGACGTTATGAAGCTGCAGATTAAGGTCGACGAGAGTAGTGGAAAAATTGTTGATGCTCGTTTTAAGACCTTCGGTTGCGGTTCCGCCATCGCCTCCTCCTCCGTCGGTGCGTTTTCGTAATAGCTCTTGTGTTGATTAGTAATTTATTACTGAGATTCGATAAGTGTGAACACGAGCTTAATTCGACCTTGATTAACTTGCTTGCAAGGAATTCAGAGAAATTGGAACATAATTCCAGGAGGTTTAAGATTCTATGAGTTTTAAACTGGTGTTTTTATTAGAAACGATCGATTTGGATTTGCAATTTCTGAAATAGGTTGAGGCTATACTGTGCAGCCTAACAGATCTATTATTGCTTCTGATTGAAGAAATGAAAGAATATATATTTGAAAGTTTTATATGCTTTGAAAGGCTGCTCTTGTATGAAATTGTGTGTGCTTTGTGTATATTCATATATATATATATATGTTGTTTTCTTGGGAGAACTAAAAATTTCGTGGAAATATTGTGAGAATTTTTCTTCATTTTAAAAAAAAAATTGATGTGGAATAATTGGTCTGTGTTAGCCACTGCATTATGCGAAGTTGTGAATGAAACTATGCCCTGGCGAGCTTTTTACCATTGATGTTGGAAGCTTTTGTTACCATAAGGGAATTTGTTTTTGTTATATAGATTGAAGAATTTTACTTTCCAATCGAAAAAGGTTGCTTTGCCTTCACCACTGTTCTTGGTGGAGCCTTCCTCTGCTTTCTTTTTTAGTTCTTTGATGTGATTATTTTTTATCTGGTACTTTGTATTAGCTTGAACAAAATATGCAATTGATTCAAAAAGTAATTGCACTTGTCGGTATCTCAGTATAAATCATCACCTCCTTGGATGTCACTTGTTTGCACAAAGTAATTGGTGCTAAAGGTCGTTGTTTTCTTTTACAGCCACTGAATGGGTGAAAGGCAAACAGATGGAAGAAGTGCTTTCGATCAAGAACACGTAAGTTGGTTCTATTACACTTTGTCTAAATATACTACTCCTGTCCACCGTAAATATGTTTTTTTGTCTGGATACAGAGATTAAAGAAAAATTAGCATTTTAATGTAAAGTAAAAGTTATGTAGAGGTATTTTAGGAAATGTATTTAATTCAGAGAGTATGTGTGATGTAAGTATAGTGACAAAATCGTTATTATGTGTTAGAGATAATCTTTTAGTGGATGGAAAAAGGTAGGGTGTGTTTGTTCGTGGGTTTTAGTTTTTGGGTTGGATTTTTAAATAGTAAAAAGTTGAATTTGAATAGTTGTTTGATGTAATGTTTTGAATGTAAAATAAATTTGTAGTATAATTAAAAAAAAAAAAAAAAGTAATTGTTTGATGTGATATTTTTTAAGGAAAAAAAGAATATAAATAGTAAAAATCTGAGCTAAAACCCACAAAGAACACAACCGTAGTTATTTATGATAAAAGTACAAATTTTGCGGATGTAGGAAGTATTATGAATGAATTTGAGGCGAAACTTAATGGGGATTGAAATATGTCCGTATATCTTTGGAACCATCACTTCTTGTGGCTCGGCAATTGATCAAATTATTTGTTCATTGAATTATTTGTTCGATGTGTAATTGGTCAGTGTTCTTAATCCCCTCATTTCTGAAATCATAATGTAGGGAACTAATACTATATATATGTTATATTTATGTGTTTTGCGGGTTCTTGATACAACACTTGAATTGCAGGGAAATTGCGAAACATCTATCTCTGCCGCCGGTTAAGCTTCATTGCAGCATGCTGGCCGAGGATGCAATAAAGGCTGCTGTCCGAGATTATGCAGCAAAGCGCCCGAAATCGAGCGAAAGTAAAGATGCAGCAGCAAGTGCCTGAGGGATGAATAATATGTAAGTGATCTTAGATCATATAGTTATGTGTAATGAAATAATGGTGTAGTTGGAAAGGTATGCATTGCCTTTTATACAAACATACATCACTGTTGACACAGAATGTTATGTAATACTTTATAGGTAAACAGGGTTGATGACATATATATGTGTATGTATATATATATATATATATGTGCACATCTATGCATTTACTCTCAAGCTTTCTTTTTTTTATAGATATACATATATTGAGTGAAATTGAAGTGTTGAATAATATCATATTGAAATAATTATGGGCTTGTTTGGTTGAACTTTCAAATAGATGTTTTCATTTAGTTATTTATTCATTTTTTTTTTACCTTTGGGTGAATACAAGTACTTCCCAGACGGTAGGAGTGGAAGGAGGCCAAGCGGCCTACGGCTTGACCTATTTATTGTTAAATACTATTTCAATTCAAGTTTATTTTTTTTGGGTAAATTGTTTTTTTTTAGTTCCGTAACTGGATTCCTTATCATTTTAGTCCCGTAAATGGAGCCTGTCGCAAATTAGTCTCATAAGTGAAAAAATTTTGTTATTTTAGTCATCCAGCGCCGGAGACGCCCGCGTGGCTCGCCGGAAGCCACCTGGCGGACACGTGGATTTTTTATTTTTTATTTTTTATTTTTTATTTTTTTAATTGGACCAAATAAAAAAAATTTTAAAAAAAAGTAAATAAAATTAAAAATAAATTTTTTAAAAAAATTAAAAATTAAAAATAAAATTCATGTGTCCGTAGGTGACCTCCGGCGAGCCACGCGGACGTCTCCGACGCCGGAAGACTAAAACAACGGAAAAAATTACAGGACTAGTTTGCAACAGGTTCTGACTAAAATGATAAGAAGGTCAGTTACAACACTAAAAAACAGTTTACTCTTATTTTTTTAAGTCTATTTCATTAATTAGAATAGTTTTAGGTTTTACAAAAGAATCGTTTAGGCCTATGAGGACGGAATATATATATATATATAATTTTAATTTAATATATAAAATTATTATATTTTTAAGTATTTATAGTTTTTTTTAAAAATTAATTTAGTAATAATAACTAAACATAAAATTAATTTATTTTAACTATAGTTATATATATACAATAATTGCATTTATATTTTTTACTAATATTGAATTTAAAAAAAATAATTAAATATATACAATAATTGTATTTAATTTTTTTTACTAATATTGAATTTTAAAAATAAAAAATTAATTATTATATAAACTTTTAAATAGGCTCGTAGGCTACACAAACTTACAAATATGTCAGGTTTCGGCTTTATGGTCCTGTTATTATAAGTTAATAGATTAGACTCGGGCATTAAGTTTTCAAAATAGACCTGGCTTGTTTAGTCTGATCTGACTTATTTTAATCCCTACCAGAAAGTTGTTCATACTAGAATACCCTCTAAAGTATGTTTAATTTTGAAGTTTTGATAGCCCAAAGCATGTTTAATTTTGGAGTTCTAATGGCTAAGAATGTTTAACTTTGGAGTTACGATGGAATTAGGTGTCTCAAGTATTTTTAAATTTAAAATTTTGATGGGATCTAGTGCGTTAGTTTGTTATGGACTGAAAATATTTTTACTATTTATCTACAATCAATACACAACTAAACAACCACTTTAATATTATATCACAATAATTATTCAAAATAAAATAGTTATTTGTAAATGTTAATAGAAAAATTCCTTATTTTGATGATTTTGGCATATGTTACAAAAATGTTCTGAGTTGTCATATTGTCAAAATAGCACAAAAACAGCATGACAATGTACTTATTGGTGGGGCTGGAAAACAAACGGATCAGGTCGGGTCGGGTTCAGGTTCGGGTCAGTTTAAACGGGTTATAAAACCCTTGACCTGAACCTGACCCATTTAATTAAATGGGTTGATATTTGCAACCTTAATTTGACCTTTTATTAATCGGGTCAACTTGAATCTGACTCTTATAATCCGTTTAAATCTAAAAATTTTAAATTTTAATTTAAAATTACAATTTATACTAACAAAATTTTTAAATGCATAATATATATATTAAAGCAAAAAATTATTTATTCATATCATGAAACCGATATCCAAGAATTGAATTAACAAACGCTACATAATAGTACACAATACAATCCTTTATTTTTTATTGTTTATTTTTATAAAATTGGCCATAAATATTGAATTATATTGATAAAATTTAAAAAATATATTTAAATTTAAAATAATATTAATTATCCAGGTTAGACGGGTTATTTTCATGTCGAAAATGTAGACTTTAACCTAACCCATTTAATTAAATGGGTTAAACGGGTTTAATCCAATTATTAATTGGGTCGAAAATCTCAACCCAAATCTAACTATTTTAGGTCAGGTTCGAATCGGATTATCAGGTCAGGTTAATTTTTGCCAACCCTACTTATTGGTATAGTCTCATTCCTCCTAAGTTGAATATCTTCTAACACTTTCAAGGTGATTAGAAGTCTATTGAAAAAAATGAGAAAATAAAAATATAATCGAAGACACTTCTACTCATAGCTAGATATGATGATATTTCCTTATGTTAGTTATTGTTGTTGTATGATAACAAGTTAATTAGCTAGATATGATATGTAAACATTTTATACTCTCTTCGTCCAATTTCTATTGTTTTAAAGTATATTTGTACGGTTTTTTAGGTGATTGTCTTTTTGTTATGATTTAACAAATTTGTCCTTAATTGTATGGTAGAGATTAAAAGTAATAAATGAACGAAGATTAAAAATATAAAATTTATTTATAAAAAAAAATAGAACAATAGTTGTTGAACGTCCCAAATAGGAAAGTAGAACATTAGTTTATGGACGGAAGTATTAATTTATTACTTTATTTTTATTTAAAAAATTAAAAGACTTCCTCGATCTTCTTTCTTCTATGAATCCATTCATTATTTTGTATGTAAATTTATTATTATTATTATTATTGTTATTATTATTATTATTATTATTATTATTACTTTATATTAATATAATAAAGATACATATATAAACCAACAACATATGATATAATTTTCTATAACACATGCAACAGTTAGATTTAACATATTACATACTCACACACTGTAATTATGAATAAATAACATATGATATGATTACAAATAGCACGTGTTGTTTGTAATAAATATATATATATTATTTTTATATTTTATGTGTGTTAGATTTCTATGGTGTCCAATTAATACTGTAACACTTCTCTAGATGTAGATATTTATCTCGAACTGCATAAACTGTCTCTTTAATTTTCTGTATTATTTTGAGTTTAGAATTTTTGTTGTATTTTATCGTTTGATTTCACAATAATGTGAATAATATATTTAAAGTGTTTGGTTTGTTCTTGAAAGTTTCTATTTACAAAAAAAAAAAAAAAAAAAAAAAAAAAAACCAAAACTACAATAACAATTTATTTTCAACAAATAGACTTTCTTCCTACATAGCCACTCTGCATCCTCATTCACCGTAATTCTTGAAGCTAATATGTTATTGGCGGAACTAGCCCCTGAATTTCGAAGGGTTTATTTCCGATATATTTTTATTGTTTCGACAATATTTTGTCAATTTTCCTTGTCATAGTCACAGTAGTAACATATAAAAACTATATATATAATAAAAATATAACAAAACGATAACATTAGTATTTTGATGTACAAATTAACTTATTTATATTACAAAAATATATGTTTATACTAGAAAAATCAATTAAATTTTACGACTTGAGGGGGTTGACGCCCCCTTGAGTCCTTCCTTAGATGCGCCACTGTATAAGGCGGAGGTGGGGCTTTCTTGTTTATACAAAAATATATGCATCCAACGGGACAATTTCCTGGTTCAAATTTTGGATCGCCGCAAAATCTTTCGCAATTTTCATAACAACCGGGATAATTACCCGATGAGTGTCCGAACATCGCGGTGAATGCCACCATCAAGAATATAATCACCGTAGGATCGAAGCCTTTCCTCATATTTTCGAAATTAAAGATGTTGTGATTGTGAATTATGCTGTAAGGAAGAAATGACATTCTCTGTCTTTTTATAGAGATTTAGAAGGTTGAGTAATAAATAAATTTTTAAAATTAAAATAATTGCAAAATATTAAATAGTTATGTCGAAATAAATACTATTACTGTAAATTAAACCAACTGTACCATACCATTAATTAACAATAATAAAAATGGTTGGACCTACCATAAATTTAAATAAACAAACAGCAATATTAATAATTAGTTTTCAGGTTTTTATCCTTGGATAATTAGTTATTTATGGAGAAAATTGCAAAAAATATCTCACATGTATATTCTATTATCACTTTTGTTATGTATTTATCTCGTTGGCAAATATTTGTGGGATATATTTTGCCAGAAAGATAAATACACGACAAAAGTGATAATAGGGTATAAGTGTATGATATTTTTTGCAATTATCTTGTTATTTATGCAATTAATTGGTGAATGAAAATGCGATAGGCCGGTGAACCAAATTAATTAGATTGATTTGAAAGAAATTATTTATTTATTGTATACGAGACTTAGTTAATATTTTGGCTATTATGTCTACCAACCAAATTGTGCAGCCCTAAGTTAAACGCGGTATATGACCTAAGTTGTAGCATTATTTGGATATAATCTGTTGGATGGATTCATTATAATCTTAAACGGAAGGTTTGAAATTAGAATAAATTATAATTGTTTTAAACAGAAGGTTTGAAATAAGAATAAATTACTATCATCACAAACGAAATGTTTGAAATAAGAATAAATTACTATCATCACAAACAGAACGTTTGAAATAAGAATAAATTATTACCATCACAAACGGAATGTTTGAAATTAGAATAAATTACGATCATCACAAAGATAGTTTGAAATTAGAATAAATTACTGTTGATAGAAAATTGTGTTATTTTTAATAAACACAAAATTTGTACAAATTATATTTGATTTGAATTTAATGTGGGTCCTATTCTCTAAATGGGTCATTTGATTCTCTTTCCGGATCGATTTATTTTTCAACTTGGTTTCGATGGCTTCTTTGATCAGAAGAGATTTGGTCTTCGGTTTGATTTTGCCGGATTTTGGAAGGATTTGGTCTCCGTGCAAGCGATTTGATCGTCGACTTTGGATTTGATGTCCTTTTTAGACGATCCAAGGCTTTGATATTTAATTTGGCTTTGCCGCCTTTTGAAAAGCTTTGGTCTCCGTGTAGGCGATTTGATCATCGGCTTTGGATTTGATCTCTTCTTTAGATGACCGAAACTTTGATCTTTGGTTTGGCTTTGCCGTGTTTTGAGGACTTTGGTCTCCATGTGGGCGATTCGATTGTCGGCTTTGATTTGATGTCTTTTTTGAACGATCCACAACTTTGATATTTGATTTGGCTTTGCCGCTTTTTGGTGGTCTACATGTGGGCGATTTGATCGTCGGCTTTGGATTTGATGTCTTGTTTAGACGATCCGATGCTTTGATCTTTGGTTTGGCTTCGCCGGATTTCGGAAGGCTGTAGTCTCTGTGTGGGCGATTTGATCGTGGGCTTTGGATTTGATGTTTTCTTTGGACGATCCGCGGGTTTGATATTTGGTTTGCCTTTTCCGTCTTTTGGAGAGCTTTGGTCTCCGTGTGGGTGATTCGATCGTCGGCTTTGGATTTGATGTCTTATTTAGAAGATCCGATGCTTTGATCGTAGGTTTGGCTTCGCCGGCTTTTGGAGGTCTTTGGTCTCCGTGTGAGAGATTCGATCGTGGGTTTTGGATTTGATGTCTTCTTTGGACGATTTGTGGCTTTGATCTTTGGTTTGCCTTTTCCGCCTTTAGGAGAGCTTTGGTCTCCGTGTGGGCGATTCGATCATCGGCTTTAGATTTGATGTCTTTTTAGTTTTTTGTGTTGGTTTCTTTCTCTGCCCAACTACTTTTTTGTGTTGGTTTCTTAGAAGAGAGATTTCAAGAAATGGCGGATCTATTCACTCTATCAATAACCCTCAAGGGCCTGAACTTCTTGTTTCAGATGGTGAATCCATCAAATTGGATCAACCATTAACGAGTAAAACCCTTATTTCATTCATGCGCTGCTGACTAACCTGGCTTGAACGATCCGCAGCTTTGATTTTTGGTTTGCCTTTTCCGCCTCTTGGGCGATTCGATCGTCGGCTTTGGATTTGATGTCTTCTTTAGACGATCTACGACTTTGATCTTTAGTTTGTCTTTTCCGCTTTTTGGAGATCTTCAGTTTCCGTGTGGGCGATTCGATCGTCGGCTTTGGATTTGATGTCTTCTTTAGACGATCCGCAGCTTTGATCTTTGGTTTGTCTTTTCCGCCTTTTGGAGAGCTTCGGTCTCCGTGTGGGCGATTTGATCGTCGGTTTTGTATTTGATGTCTTCTTTGGACGATCCGCGGCTTTGATATGGTTTGCCTTTTCTGCCTTTTGGAGAGCTTCGGTCTTTGTGTGGGCGATTTGATCATCGCCTTTGGATTTAATGTCTTCTTTGGACGACCGAAGTTTTGATCTTTGGTTTGGCTTTGCCGCGTTTTGAGGACTTTGGTCTCCGTGTTGGCGAGTTAATCATCGGCTTTGGATTTGATGTTTTCTTTAGACGATCTGCGGCTTTGATCTTTCACGCGTTCTTCACCGAAGACCTTCTTCGATCCAAATCCACCTCTTCAAGGATCAAAGCTCCAAAAGCCATTGAAAAATCCATCAAAGCCAGATGAAAGATTAAAAGCGCGGATCGTTTAAAGAAGACATCAAATCCAAAGCCGATGATCAAATCGCCAACAAGGAGACCAAAGTCCTCAAAACGCGGCAAAACCAAACCAAAGATCAAAGCTTCGGTCGTCCAAAGAAGACATCAAATTCAAAGCCGATGATCAAATTGTCCACACGGAGACCGAAGCTCTCCAAAAGGCGGAAAAGACAAACCAAAGATCAAAACTGCGGATCGTCCAAAGAATGTATCAAATCCAAACCTACGATCAAATCGCCCACACGAAACTGAAGCTCTCTAAAAGGTGGAAAAGACAAACCAAAGATTAAAGCTGCGGATCATCTAAAGAAGACATCAAATCCAAACCCGATGATCGAATCGCCCACACGGAGACCGAAGCTCTCCAAAAGGCGGAAAAGACAAACTAAAGATCAAAGTCACGGATCGTCTAAAGAAGACATCAAATCCAAAGCCGATGATTCAAACAAAAGCAAAGATATTTTGATATTTATATATAAAATAAATATTTTTGAGTGAAACAAACGAAAATAGTAAAATAGACAGGACTGAGGGAGCGCAATATAATTTTATATAACTTGTCGTGTTCTTCTCTAGTATATATTCCATGACTAAAAGTAAATTAGAATCTATTTAACTATTTTAAATTATATCTCATTAAAATATATATAATATAAATATATTTTATAGAGAATATATGATATAAATAAATAAAAAATTTATTTATATATAATTAATATAAATTAATTTTATAAAAATAAATAAAAATAAAAAATTTGAAGTGAATCTTATATCTAATTAATCTTTTAGTCTCACCTTGATTGACATTTTTTTTTTATTTGTGTCTTCTCTTACATATTTCTATTTTGATAAAACTTCTTAAATCAAAACATATTTAACAAATATAAATAACTTAATTAACTTACCTATAACACATAGAATCATAAGTTACTAACACAAAACTCCTTTATTTATATATCTCATCAAAAAATAAATATTTTTATATGTATTTAAAACTCTACATCTTTTATTAAATTAGTTTATATTAATTTTAAATAAATAAACGTATTTTCTTATTTGCTTGTATTATAAAAAATTTTATTCTCTTCAAAAGAATATCTATATTACATATTTATTTTATTGCAATATAAATTTAAAATATTTAAATATCTTTTTAAAATTTTTAATCATACATATTTAAATTTTATTTTTAAAATTATCAATATTACTATTAATTTTATTTACTTTAAAAATTGCATGGCGTCTCTCATATTTTAAAAAACATTGCATGAACACCTCTATAGTTTCGAAACTTAGTGTAAATCCTTGTTTTACCTAAAAATTTGCATGACGCTCCCTTATACTTTTAAAAATGTTAGAATGAAACATCTCTGCCATGCAAAAAAAAAATATAGATAGAAAATCATCTTTTCGTTACACAAGAGAGATGTTTCATAGCGATGAAGTTTCATGCAACTTTTCTGAAAGTGAAGAAACGTCATGCAATTTTTTAAAGTAAAGAGAGATTTTATATAGAATTTCGAAACCAGAGAAATTATAAGCGGTTTTACCTAAATATTACTCCCCCGTCCCAGTTAATTTGTCTACTTTAGCAGGGGCATAGAGTTTTAGATATGATGTAATTAGTAAGTAATTAAAAGTGTAATAGTAAAAATAATTATGATATAATAAAAATAATTATAAATTAAGATTAAGATGATTAAATAGTTTAATTAAAATAAAAAATTATAAATTATGAATTTTAAAATATGATTAAAATGTATAATTATATTTACAATAAATGAAAGAGACCTTTTACATGGAATAGAAGAAGTGAGACGGATAGAGTATTTTCTTAAATACTGTAGAACTAATGAAAAAAAATCAAAGGTGTGTTTACTTGTGAGATTTTGGTTTTTGGTTTTGGTTTTGAATAGTAAAATTTTGAATTAAAATAGTTATTTGAGGTGATATAAATATGTATTGATGTGATGTTTTGAATGTAAAATTTAATTTTAGTGTAATATAATAAATAAAAAATAGGTGTTTGATTTGATATTTTTTGGGATAAAATAGTTGAAATAGTAAAATGGAAAAACAAATCTAACAAGTATGGATATAATGAGTATATTTGATATATTTAAAATTAATAAATTTATTAAAAAATAAAAATATGTATGAACAAATTAAGATGAAAAATGTAGTGTATAAATTCTTCTGATAGTTTTGAAAAAAATAATATGAATTTAATATTAAAAAATATATAATAAAATATTTTATACTCCATTCGTTCATATTGAAAGGTTATCATTTTTTATTTTCGTCCGTCCTCAAACATAAGTTATCATATCTTAATTTAGTAATTGTACTACCCAGTTAACATAATAAATACCATTTCAATTTAGAAAATATTACACAAATGCCATTAGTTTTATATTATATCAATATTTTTATTTTTTTTACTCTAATTCAATATAATACTAATATTTAAAAATCTACATGCAAAACATAAATGCATTCTCGGAGGGAGTAATTTTTTTTTTAAAAAAAAAACATATAATTTATAAATAATAAAACCCTGAAATTTTGATAGAAAGAAACAAACCCCTAATCTTCATCTCCAAAAGTCCTCACAATGGACTTGACTTGAGAAACAATTTACTGACAAAAATTCAGCAGCCCTGACTATTCTTACTTGAAAAAAACAAAAAAAGAAAAATCAAATCCAAATCCAAGAACCAAAATCTCCATCACTACCTCCACCACTCATACAACGCTTGAATATATGTATGTATATTCAATCCTTTCTTTCCTTCTCATCTAAATTATTCTTTCCTAATCGTTCTTCGGCCAGAATTGTCGTCGCCGTCTGCACTTCACTTCTTACTGTCCGTACCAGACCGACGCACACGTGAGAAGAGAGAGAGAGAGAGAGAGAGAGAGAGAGTTTTCTTCGTTTTTTCATGGTTTCAATTTCATTTAAAAGCTTCCATCGTTGTTGAGTCTTTCTCCATTATCTCCAAATTTTTATCAAGAGTAGCTCGAGGTATAATTGGCTGTTGCATCGCTGGCTTCTCAATCACAATAAGAAAAATGGCTTTAATTATTGCTTCGCTGCATTGCCCTTCCACCGCCTACGCCAATTAATTCCAGTAGATGTTTAATTTCGCGGGCGGCCTCTGGTTTTTTTCAATTTTTTATTTTTGTTCAAAAATTTCTATTTTCCTCGAAGGATCGACCTGTTTTCCCCTTCAGGATTAGATTTGAAAACATATATCAGTTTGGGCTTATGGGTTCTGCTCTTTCATGGCGGCCTGTAGTTCATCTGCTCGTTAATCTTTAGTTTGTACTGTCGCTGCTTGGATTCTCATAGTCTTATCCATATTTGGACTTTTGAATTTTGAATTAATTAGTTACATGGGGCTGCTGACCTAATCAAAATTTGTCTTTTTTGACTAGAGTAAGAAGAGAAACAGTTTGGGGTTAGACAGGTAGAGTAATTACAATGGATAGTTCAACGGAGGACCACCAAGAACCCAACATTGGGATTGACGGCTACATAAATATTGCTGCTTCTGCCAATCAGAATTCAGTTGCAGACTCTAGTGTAGGAGGAGCTCCAGGGAGATCGGGTGAGTCGGGAGAGAAGGAGATGGCACCACTGGGAGGAAATTCGATTCACCGTTCATCATCCAGGCCACAGTTGGACCTCAGCAAAGCGGCCATACAAGGGAATTTTGAGGAGAAAGATCCTACAATTCTGTTGCCTAATCAGTCTGATGATATTTCTCATCTGGCTTTGGATATTGGAGGTGAATTTTGAGGTTTTCTTGTCATAAAGGAGTGTTTCTTTTAGCCCTTTTCTTACCCTTCACATATAAGCATTTCATAGAAGGCTTAGGCTCCATTTAGATTGAATTTTGGGGAGTTTCGGAAAATGATGAGATTGTGAAAAGTTGGGTTTTTGATATGATGATTTGGGAGATGAAAAATGTATTTTGATTGTGATGCTTTTTTTTGAAGAAAATTAATGTACATGAATATTACCAAAAGTTACAAAAGTGTGTAGGTAAACTGAGTTTAGTATGTTCTTATTTTGTCGTAGAGTAGTAGTACTAATGAGGTTATGACAGTGATTTCAAAGACATTCTGTTAGATTGCCTTCAATGGCATCAATTTGTTGAGTAACAATGTGTACTTTGGCAGGATCGCTCATTAAGTTGGTGTATTTCTCAAGACATGAGAATCAGCCTGTCAACGACGCAAAGAGAAAGACAATCAAGGCGAGACTTAGCATGACCAATGTAAATAGGAGGAGCTACCCGATTCTTGGCGGGAGGCTGCATTTTGTGAAGTTTGAAACTTCTAAAATTAATGAATGCTTGGATTTCATCTACTCCAAGCAGCTTCATCATGGTGGTATGTATATTCCTTAACTACCTCGAAGTTTCGTGCTTTTTCGAATTGCAGTTTGTTTAATCTTGTGCTCTACTGTCTGGTTACAGGAATGGATTCACAGCATTGGCAATCTGAAGGGAGTCCAAACACTCAGAACACCGTAATTAAGGTATTTCTCTACGTCGACATGCACTTCTTTAATATGATTAGATGATTCTTCTCTTATGGTGATGCATTAACAAGAAAAGTATGTGTTTTTTTTTTTTCACCTTTCAGTTTCTGTGTTTTTAATTTGGATAAATTGCTTATAACTTGAGGCATGGAAAGTCATTCCACTCAAGGTTTAAAAATTGCGCAACCTTCCATCGTGTTTTCGAAAACATTGAATAAAATCCTCCAAACATTTGAACATAACGGGTTGGTGGAAGCTATTACTGTTCAGACACTGCAATTTGGGGGATTTTGTGCATTGTTTTTGGAAAAACGAGGGAAAGCTGCGCAATTTTTAAACTAGATGAGAAAATGATGTAGATTTCCAAAATCACAAGTGAGTTATAAGCAATTATGTCTTTTAATTTTTAAGTTTTTGAGGTGAAATAGTTGTTGGAAGTCATCTTTTTGGAAGGAAATTGAGAAATTGAATAATAAAATAAATGAAAAAAAAGAAAAAAGAAACACAATGTGAACAAGCCGTATAATATTATAACATAGTCATTTTGTGTATGGATGTTTTGTCGGTTGCCTTTACTTCTTTCTATGTGTGCTCTGAAAAATTGAATAACTATAATGGAACTTGTTTTACTGATATTTTGTCCGTTACTGATTTTTGTCGTATTGTTATTTTTGTTACAAAATATCTTTCTGATTAGACATTGTTTTTGTTTTACATACCGAGGTTGATATTATGGGAAGTCCAATTTGCTTACTGGTCTTAAGACAAATGACCTACACTATACAATATAAATTTCATTGTATTAATGGAGTCGACATTATTGAAGTGGTATTATGAGGGAACTTTCCATGTTAACGTGAAAGACAGGCATTTATTCATATTAACTAAGAAGGATTTGTTTGCAGGCAACAGGTGGTGGGGCTTACAAGTTTAACGATCTTTTCAAGGAAAGGCTTGGGATCAGTATAGAGAAAGAGGATGAAATGAACTGCCTGGTAGCTGGTGCAAATTTTTTACTCAAGGTGTGACATCAATTTCATTTATTTTTTGTTGGTTTCATTGCGACGATTATTATCGTAGCCAAAAATATCGTTAGAGCATCTTCAACCAATAAAATGTAAAGAGTAGTTTATTAAATGAAGAAAAAAAAAGAAAAAAAAAAAGAAGAGATATTTGTATGCATTTTCTTACTGCTCCAAGATAATTTAATGTCTCCGCGACCCTGTATTAGTCAACTGAACACAGCTATGTGCCGGTGCATCATTAATGTAGAACAGTCGTAATTATGTAGTGGCTCTAGATGCACTGGAAGTTCAAGATCGAAATTTTGTAATTATTCCATTGAGGTTTAATTGTATAAGATAAAATTATAAAAATTATTGAACTGCATATGTCGCAAGGCGGGTGGCTCTTCTTACAATTTGTTGAGGTGTATTTTGCTCCTATTTATTTTATGTTCCTACTTTTCAAGACGACTACCTTCCATTGTGTCTTATGCAGGCGATTCGACATGAAGCTTTTACACACAAGGAGGGCCATAAAGAGTTTGTGCAGATTGACTCGAATGACCTGTTCCCTTACCTTCTCGTCAACATAGGATCTGGTGTCAGTATGATCAAGGTATTAACTTATATTGCATGCAATTCTCTTCCTTCCTTCCCTGCTCGGTAACAAAGGAACCTACCCTGTCTACAGGTTGATGGGGACGGAACGTTTGAGCGTGTTAGTGGAACAAATGTTGGTGGGGGCACCTACTGGGGTCTTGGGAAGCTCTTAACCAAGTGTAAAAGGTTGTGTTAATGTCATTCTTGAATTTGTAGCCTTCCTAATTTAAATGTTTGCCGCAATTTAATTTTCGAACTTCGTTTTCTCTAATTAGTTTTGATGAACTATTGGAGCTGAGTCAACGGGGAGATAACCGAACCATCGACATGCTAGTAGGAGATATTTATGGTGGCATGGACTACTCGAAGGTACGCCAACTATATAGTGCATTTGTACATCCTTATTTGTTTCCCTGTCTAACATCGTCACCAATAATTACGGCAAAATAACATAAAACCTATTTGTGATTTATGAAAATTGCGTGAAACAATTCATTGTTTCAAAATTGTGTCAGACTTCTTTATAGTTTCAAAACTCTGTATTTAAGTCCCTTCCGTCATTAGTTAACCTTCCGTCATTAGTTAATGGTGATTGTTTTGGACACGTCCTAACTGCGAAGATAATTAAGAAACTCTATAACTACGAATCACCATTAACTAATGACGGAGGGGGTTAAGCACAATGTTTCTGAAACTATAAGGGAAGCAATTTGAAAACAATGGAGGGTTTTGCGCAATTTTCATAAATTTCAGATGAGTTTTATGCTATTTTGCCAATATTTACGGTAAATGTTATGTTGTCCAGTAAATGTTTTGTTTAGTTCATTTTCTTAGTCTGAAAATATTGTAAGTGTCGCAGATTGGTCTTTCTACATCGACTACTGGTTCTAGTTGTGGGAAAGCTATCTCTGAAAATATTTCTAATTCTTTCCTGTTATGCCTTTTTCTTCGTTCTCTTATTCATTTTCTAATTCTGACAATTTTGTAAGTACCACAGATTGGTCTTTCTGCATCGACTATTGCTTCTAGTTTTGGGAAGGCTATCTCGGAAAATAAAGACCTTGAAGACTACAGACCTGAAGATATATCTCTGTCTCTCTTGCGAATGATATCCTATAATATTGGTCAGGCAAGTGTGGCTGCGAAATTTACTTGATTTTAACATACATGGCCTTATATATGAATCTTGTTTTTCTTCTTTAATTTATGTTAAAAGCTGCAATTATTTCTGTTTGATGTAATGAAAGTGGTTCGCGAAATTGAAAGGGGCAAGTTATATATAGGAGTTAATTACTCTTGAATTATCGGTGTCCACAGAAAATAATGTTCCAAACAAAAGACCAATGGTTCTGTAGATTGTAAATTCTACATCTGAACTCACTGTATATGCTGTATTAATGGGCCGAACATTTAGGGTGTGTTTGTTTAGTGTTTGTGTGGTTTGATTTTTGTTGTTTTGTTTAGGTAAAATAATTGTTTGTTGTGATGTTTGTAATGAAAAAATAGTATAGTTTTATCGGAAACAATGTGTTTAGAAAAAAGTGAAATCCAAAACAAACACACTCTATTTCCTTGTAAGAGATTGAAATCACCCCGATTGTCACCGTATAAGTACTTGCTTCTAAAAATAAATAAAATAACATTGTGATTTCGCACTGCACTTAATAGTAATATACTTTAGCATCACTAGTTTGATTTTTCTATGTTTGTTATTTAATGGACTACGTATATCTGCCCTGCATCTTTTCTTAGTTAGGCATTAGAAATATGAAACAATATATATATATATTATTCAAAAGATGTGATGATGAACTATGTATATTCTTTGTTTGGATTTAAAGTTTGAGTGCATTATATTGTGGTTTTTGTTGAGTTAATTGCGATGACTGATTGAAGAGCTGAATATATATTTGTGTGTGTGTGTATATATATATATTAGACGTGTATGATTTGATTATTTTCTGTAAAGATTGAATAAAAATTATTAAGTCATGGCTTTTGAATAGTATGATGATATGAAGGTAGATATTTAAATGTTTTATTATAAACTAATACATGACTATGAACACAAGCACATAAGAGTTTGAATAAAATAAGTATAATATAAGTAAGACTAATATTATTTTTGTGGGAAGAAAAGCACATAGGTGTTTTGACAAATTTGGGGTGTTGAACTAACAAACACACTTTGAAGCACAAATCATAAACAGTGTGTTCCTTTAAAGTTTGAATTTGGTTGTGAGAATAGTAAAAATTTCAATTGAAATAGTGATTGACCTGAAAAATTTTAATACGATATTTTGAATGTAAATTTGATTTTATTTTTTAATATATTAAATGAAAAATAAGTGACTGATTTGATGGTTTTGGGGGGTTGGGTGGGGAGGGGGGATGGTTGGAATTTGATTAATAGAGTGAGATGAGGTCCAGATAGAGCCTTTGTTACCATGTTTGGAGGATAGTGTGCTTCCATGTTCGAAGAATCTGTAAATTCACCAAATTTATTATTGGAGCAATAAGATCTTTCTGAAATTAGAAATCTCTGGTAGCGGAAACACCTGTGTGTTGCACATTATTTTACTATTGAGTTGACATTCTTCATCAGTGTTTGCTTAATTCACCATCTTTCATCACTATATTCCTTTCTCTTGTATGACAAGACAGCTCTACAGCTGTCAACCATCATCTTTCATAGACGAAAGAATGTTCTTACATGAAATGTGATATTGTTTTTAATAATCTTCAGATATCTTACTTAAATGCATTGCGCTTTGGGCTTAAGAGAATATTCTTCGGAGGGTTTTTCATCAGGGGCCATGCTTACACTATGGACACCATTTCATTTGCTGTTCAATTTTGGTAATGTCGAAAACATGTTGCAGAAGCTTTATATGAATTAATTATGACTATCGCTGCATTCTCACTTTGACACCCTTTTGAACACCATTTTTTGGATTTTTCGTACCTGCACACTTTTAGGTCACAGGGGCAAGCCGAGGCAATGTTTTTGAGGCACGAAGGGTTTCTAGGAGCATTAGGTGCCTTTATGAGCTATGAAAAGCACGGGCTGGATGACCTTATGGTTCATCAGCTGGTTGAAAGGTTCCCAATGGGTGCACCATATATTGGAGGAAATGTTCATGGTCCACCTTTAGGAGATCTTAACGAAAAGGCAGGCAAATTTATTGACAAGCACGGTTAATTTTGCCTATCATTATGATTTTGGGTTTAGGAATATCACTGCATTCGATTATCTGTCGCTTTTGTTCATATCTCCATGGCTATTTATGTGTGTATATATATATATATTCATTTTTTTTTTAGAAAAAAGGAAATTTAAGATTCCCTTCAACACATGATATTTGCTTATTCAGTTTACTAACACGTGTTCCCTTCGATTGAATGAGACATAAAAGAACTAACCTTATACGGGTCTCAATGGGCACTTATCATGTTTTGGAATATATTCTCTACTGCTTTTTCAGTTTCAAAAGCTCTGGAGTAAATTGAAAGGTTCCTTGAGCACCAGGCATATTAATATATACATATATATATATATTATATAACGACTATTTAGCTTTACAGAAACTTTTTTACATAAAGATGTGGTAATACAGTTTCTCAGTCTCTTCATATTGTTTTTGTTAGGAAAATTATTATTGATTTTGAAAATTGATTTATGCAGCAATTAAAAGGTTTGGTGGGTTTATAAGCAAAGCATTTTTCTCGTGAAATTTTTTATTTTTTTTAATTTTTTGTCATGAAATTTGTCAGAAGAGCTTTATTTGATGCGGCCGGATTACTGCCTTGATATATTTCTTTAGTTTGTTGGCTGTCCGTTATGCTGAGCTATCCCGTGTCTAATATCCTTCCCCTTTATATTTCTTAACTTGGTTGATTAATCTGAACCGTGAGTAGGATTTCTGGATATGGAGTAACATTAGAGATTCTATGACATGAATGCTTTTCTATAAGCTGATTTTTATTTTTTTTTGCGTGTGGCTGTCGCAGATCTCTTGGATGGAGAAGTTTGTGCTGAAGGGAACTGAAATTACCGCGCCGGCTCCTGTTCCAATGAGTCCCCCGGGAACTACTGGCCTTGGGGGATTCGAAGTTCCGTCATCCAGAGGAGATATCTTACGTTCTGATGCTAGCAAACTCAATGTGGGCGTTCTCCATCTCGTACCGAGTTTGGAGGTGTTTCCGTTGTTGGCTGATCCAAAACTGTGAGTGAATTAAATGATTCAGTAGACTGATATTAATTGGAAATACTTTCTTCTTTGTAAGTTTGCTCGAACAGTGACATTTTGTTGAAATCTTTATATGCAGATATGAGCCGAACACTATCGATCTTTCTGATCCTGGTGAGCTAGAGTGAGTACCAAAAATTTGATAGCTATGCATTTGCCGTTCTGATTCATCCCCCTTTTGTTGTCCTTAATCCCGTATAAATTTTCTTATTTAATGTAGGTATTGGTTCGCCGTCTTATCAGAGCATATGCCGGATCTTGTTGAGAAGGTAGTTTAAAAGGTCTTTTGTTCTATTGTCTCCTCGCTAATCTGAACAATTGTGTTGGAAAATGATATGCACCTGACTGCAACACTATTTATCAATGGGTATAAGTTGCAAACGAATCTCTTATACCAAAATTTGAAGTTTGGAAATTTACCTTTCGCTCTGTTCTAGTCTTATTTTTTCAACTTATGTTATTGGATAAAGCTGAATTTGTGGCTCTTGATTTCGCGATTTCGCATTATTTATCAATATTTCTCTTTCTAAATCCTTAACTTTAACTACTGCTTGACATTTTCATGAAATGTTCAACTTCCAATAATCAAACTTTATGCGAAGCTTCAACTAAGTATGAAAAATTTTCTCCTATTTATTAGAAACTTAAGAAATCGAATGCTACTTTGGCGACTGTGCTGATGCTGCAATTATGATCGGAAAATCCCTGTCATTTTCTGAACATTTGTGGCTTGCTATGTGTTAGTTTTGATTGCATCTTATATTTCTATGTACAACTATGGAAGATTCGTGAAACTTTTGCAGGCTGTGGCGAGTGAAGGTGGCACCGATGATGCCAAGAGAAGGGGCGATGCATTCGCCCGCGCATTCTCTGCTCACCTTGCAAGGTTCTAACTTAATCATTACTCATATCTTATACTTAAGAAATATGTATATATATATATTGGTGTTTTTGGGCTCCTCATTTGTGATATTTTAACTTCTGCTCGATAGGCTGATGGAGGAGCCAGCCGCGTATGGAAAGCTGGGGCTAGCAAACCTATTAGAGCTAAGAGAAGAGTGCTTGAGGGAGTTCCATTTTCGTGATGCCTACAGAGGCATAAAACAGAGGTAATTAATTCCGCACGGATTGACATCTATAGAATTGTCTTGCGCCTTAACAAAGGGAAATTACAGCAATTTTGATTCGATAAATGACACATTTTATCATTTTAGTTCTTTAAGTGGACTTGTTTGAAAATGGTCTTGTATTTCATTCGTTTTCATTCCAATGGTTCTAATTCTGCCGTGACATAGATGTGCTTAAGAAAAGTGACAAACGAGGTAGAGGGTGGGGTGTAGAGACAAATATATTTTGTGATTCTTTTTTAAATTACAATTTGATATAATATATTATGAGATATTTTTGTATTTTTATTGAGGTGCGTGGGAATGAATAATAGAAAAATAGAATTGTAAAGTGAACAATCTGTACAAATAATTGACTTCTACATAGAAATACTATCTCCGTCCGGCTCTAAGGGTTTCATTTACTTTTTCCGTGTTAATCTTTGAATATTAATTATTATTTTAAAACGTAGTAAAAATTATAAAAAATGCAAAAATACTTCCATTAGTGTCTTATAAAACTAATAAAAAGATATTTGTATAAAAAATTATACAAATATAAAAATATTTTTAATGTTAAGTACAATGACGCAAAATGTAAATGTGATCCTTAGAGGCGGACGGAGGAAGTATATGATTAGTTATTAGTTTTCAAAATGTAAGTATACTTGAATATAATTTATGTATGCATCGCGTTCGTGTATGCTTGTGTTGAAAATCAATAGGGATATCATTTAAGCCATTACTAAAGTTTGTATTTCTGTTTATATATTCAAGCAAAGAAATTTATTCTGACTGAAGTATTATGATGGATTTTGATGTTTTTAGGTAACATAATGTTCTATTATCGAAGTAATTCTCAGTGCCTTCACTTGCAGTCTTGTGTAGTATTAGATAAACATTTATTTGTATGTTCATGATTAAATTCATTACAATCTAGGCGGTAATAGTCTTATACAAACTTATTTTTTTATTTTTATGCCGTCTTTTGTTATGATGACCATATGGCACTCATTCAGATTTCAATTCTCACATTCGTAACAGGGAAAACGAGGCATCACTTGCAGTTCTCCCCGATCTGTTGAGGGAATTAGACGGCATGAATGAGGTTAGTCATGATTGGTTTAATGATCTTTTGCAAATTATCATATGAATTTAGATTATGTGAATTGTCTTGTTTATATCTAAGTTATAACTCTTCCTATGTCTTCAAACTTTTGAGCATAAGTTTTAATACGGGTGTGTACGTTTGGGTGTGTTTGTTTGAGGATTTGAATATTGAGTTTGGATTTATGAATATTAAGATATTGAATTTGAATACTTGTTTAATATGATAGTAAATAAGTATTCATATGATATTTTTAACGTAAAATTAATTTTTAGTATAATATAAGTAATAATAAATAAACATTTAATTTGATGTTTTTGAAAAAAAAATTAATTCAATAGTGAAAAATTTGAAGAATCCACTAAAGAACATAACTCTGTAACTGTTTATCTTTTATATTAGAAGTAAAAAGTAAGATGATTTTTTACTAAAAAGAAAAGCGAGAATATTTTTTATGATAATTTAGAAAAGAAAGTGAACATAAATTTAGACCACGGAGTGAGTATTATTGTTGGTGTGTGTCTGTGCGACTTTTTTTTTTGTAGATTAATTAATATAATTTCCCGAGCAGGAAACAAGGCTGTTGACATTAGTGGAGGGAGTACTCGCCGCAAATATTTTTGACTGGGGATCCCGAGCGTGTGTCGATCTCTACCACAAGGGGACCATTATTGAAATATACCGAATGAGCCGAGACAAGATGCAAAGGCCATGGCGGGTTTGTATTGCAAAAACGTCGCATTTTATTTCACTCCCTAACATTCCTTTTTAGTAACATTTGCGTCGCTCGAAATTTAGGTGGACGACTTTGATGTTTTCAAAGAGAGGATATTCGGTTCGGCAGAGAAGAAGCCGCAACCCTATAAAAGAGCGCTGCTTTTCGTCGACAACTCAGGCGCCGACGTCGTCTTGGGAATGCTTCCACTTGCTCGGGAGCTTCTCCGACGAGGGACTGAAGTAAGTCGTTTAATAACATCAATAAAACCATTAGCTACAAAGTTTCGTCGACAAATGGAAAATAAAAATTTGTGTAGGTTGTTCTTGTGGCTAATTCCCTTCCTGCGCTAAACGACGTGACTGCGATGGAATTACCCGATATTGTTGCCGAGGCTGCTAAGGTCTGTTTCCTCGACAAATTCTGGGCTCGCCGTCCCATTTTCTTTTTTTTTTCAGAAAAATCTTAAATGTTTCTCGACAGCATTGCGACATTCTTCGAGGAGCGGCTGAAGCGGGTGGCTTATTGGTCGATGCAATGATAAACTTTCAAGATAGTCCCCGGGAGAGGTCAAAGTCGGTGGTGCCATTAATGGTCGTCGAGAATGGGTGCGGAAGCCCTTGCATAGATCTGCGACAAGTGAGCTCGGAGCTTGCAGCCGCTGCCAAGGATGCCGATCTGGTTAAAATCGATAAAGATTAGATTTTTTTTTTTTTTTTTTTTTTGCATCATTAACCATTTCATGTTTGCAATGTCGCCGAAGCTTATCGGTTGTCGACCAATGCAGATTATTCTCGAAGGGATGGGACGAGCGCTGCACACAAACTACAATGCAAAGTTCAAATGCGACGCCCTTAAGGTAATTGTCGACTCCGATTAATGTTCTGTTTAGATAAGAGTTTTAAAAGTTCAGGAGAGTTTTGAAGATTTTCGAAAATAGTAAAAAATTATACTTTCTTCGTCCCAATTCAAAGTACTTTTTTTACTATTTTGTCTGTTCTACTTCAAAGTATCTATTTCTTTTTCTAATCAAAGTAATCATACATTAATATCAAAATACCTTTTAACTTTTATTTAAATTACAAATATATTATTACATATACACTCACTTTACTCATACACTTACTTTTTATATGGGCAAAAATGTTAAAATCTCTTACGCACTTTCACCGACTAATATTTGATGCAATATCTTTTAAGAGAAAATAAATATTTGATGCATGTTTTTCGGAAAAATTACTATGGATGAATAGTGGCAAAATTCGAAAAAAAAAAATTGCATATGTAATTAGAAAACACTCATAATTCTTTCACAAAAATAATTTTTTTTCTAAGTCGCATCAAATATATATTTTTTTAAAATAATAAAATATCATATCAAATATTCAATTTTTTAGCGTATATACTGATAGAGTAACTGCGTTGACGGTGCAGTTGGCGATGGTGAAGAATCAACGGTTAGCTGTGAAGCTGATCAGTGGAAACATTTATGACTGCGTGTGTCGATTCGAATCGGCGTCTAGTGATTAAATCTTTTAGATTTTCTAAAAGATTTTTAACATTTGAAGGAAAATTTTGAGGATGATATTGCTGCATATAAACCTCAGTGAATCAAAACTTTGGATCTCAGGTCGAGTAGTTTGAGGTTGTTGTTGGTAACTTAAATTGTTAATTATTAAGTTAAGTGAACAATCTTTGGGTTTATTAAGTGCTATTGATGTGTTTATGTCTTTTCGTTTTTTCTAGAATTTAATTTAAAGTGAAGTGAAGTATGTATTTTCGATTGTTCGCTAAATTTATGTATATTCTATTTATAATAAAATATTTTATTCATTTATAATTTTATTATTTTTATTTTAGCAAATGAATCGGCTTTGTTTAGATAGATGTTTTTGGAGACTTTTGAAAGTTTGAAAAAAAAAAGAGAAAAAAGTTAGTATTTGATGTGATATTTTATGAGAAGAAAAGTGTATTTGATGCGGTGGTTTTTTTAAAATGAATAGTGTCAGTAAACAAATTGTTTTTATTTTATTATTTTTATCAACTAATTAATAAATTTTTTATAATACTTTCATGATTTTTTATTATTAAAAAAAATGTTAAGTAATTTTAATAATCGAGATGAAACAAAGCTCCTTGTCATCTCCTCTCTTTTAAATATGTATCGATTCAATTTTTGTTCGTAACATTGTTTGTTTAGTGAGATTTTGAAAATATATATATATATATATTTTTTTTCATGTGATGTATAGAACATTGTGTAACAATATAAAAAATAATGAATATGCAATATATTAAATTTTTTTTAAAAAAAATATGTATTTTTTGAAAATTCTAGAAAAACACAATTAGAGGATCATGTTTTAATAATTATGTTTAAAGCCTGACCAATTTTTGGTTATGATCACATAGACAGCTTGAGGGCTTCACTAAACAAAGGGTGATTTGACACATCTTAAGGGTGTGTTTGTTCCGAGTTTGGATCTTAAATTGAAAATTTAAATGTAAAAGTAATTTTTAATATAATATAAAAAATAAATATTTAATTTGATAATAAAATAAAAATATCTTGCTTAGAAATAGTTCTTTAATTGGAATAGAGAATAATTCTAAAACTACATGATATTTAGGGCATGTATTATGATCAACGATTGATCTGATCAAGTCAACATAATATTATATATTGTAGGACTTACTAACTCATATTTATACATATTTCAGAATATTTATAACAAACGTATATTATATTATATTCATCATATGTTAACACATATGTTATCTTATAACACAATATTTATAAATATATGTTGGTCACTCATATACATATGCTAATTCGATTAAAGCAGCACCAGACTGACTTCAGCCTTGTATTTCCTAGCTAAATAAAATTTCTACTTTTAGGGGGCCACTAATTTTGGCAAACTTGGATTTACAAAGTGAGTATCAACAAATCCGAAGTTCCATTCTAATGCGCCGAGTACTTTTATGTGTTACTTAATCAATATATAGACTCCTAATTGGTACATGTTCGTGTTTTTCCTCCGAAGCGAGGAAACTAATTTTTGTAGATTTTGATATGATTTAATTTACCTAAAATAAAACAAATTCTATCATTACCAAAATCAAAATCAAGAAAATCAAAAGGTCGAAATTTAGTAAATAGGTTAGTAAATCAAGAAAAAATGAAGACGAGAAAGAGTGAAGGAGAAGTGAAGTCAGGCAGGACTAATCAACAGATGACCGGAAAATAATCGGGATGAAATTTTCTGGAAAAGGCTTTTAAGGTTTTAACATAATTTTGTGGAAGAGGTTTCAAGGTTTTAACATACTCTTAAGAAAAACCGGGCTTGTAGCCTACACTTACGCCTATAAATTAATAATACAAGACATGTCAGCAATAACATAATATAAATACAACATATAAACTAATACATGACACTAAACATACTCAGCACATGTCGGCCGGTGAAGAATAATCCCTAATCAACACACTGACCATTCCCGTCGGTAAATTTAGCCATCTCATACAAAAATACGACCAATACACTAAAGATGGACGCGAAGTTTCAAACTCAAAATAAAGCGAAACAATTTTCTAATTTAATACTTTTAGTTCAAAAGGCAATTCTCGAAGAAGTAACATAATCTTAAACAAATAAAAAGGTATGTGCAAAGGGCATCCCGATCATCACTCATAACACTCACTTAGAAAACACAAACGAAACAATACTTTCATTCATCGACGTCTACCACAGCTCATTCAATATCCGTTTCTTCGCTTAGTATAAAGAAGTAACTAATTTGAATAGCCTTTTCAGCTTATTTTCTTTCGGAACAACCTCAAAACGACTTATGTTTCTCACTGAACAAGAGCTCAAATTATAAGCACATTTTGCATACTTGTCCATATCCATGTTCCCCTAGCAACTGATCAAAATAGGCATCGCATAAATAGATACCGGAACTTTAAAATCCATTACAAGCACTAATGGTCATTTCATCTTTCGAAGATTCAGATAGTTCAATTGATCATATCCGTGTACCCTAGCAACTGATCAAAGTAGGCATCACAGACATAGATACTGCAACTTTAAAATCAATTATAAGCCCTAATGGTCATTTATCTTTCGAAGATTAAGACAGGATGATTTACCATATCCATGTACCCTAGCCACTGATCAAAATAGGCATCGCATGAATAGATAAAGAAATTTTAAAAATCCCTTATAAGCCCTAAGGGTCATTTCATCATTCGAAGATTAAGAAAGGATTGATTTCCATATCCTTGTACCCTAGTGACGGATCAAAATAGGCATCGGATAAATAGATACAGAAATTTTAAAAATCCATTATAAGCCATAATGGTTATTTCATCTTTCTAAGATTAAAACAGGATGATTTACCATATCCATGTACCCTAGCGACTGATTAAAATAGGCATTGCATGATAGCTATAGAAATTTTTAAAATCCCTTGTAAGACCTTTTGGTATTTCATCTTTTGAATGTTACAACAGGACAATTTATTGCTAATTCTTCTGATCTCACAAATGTACAATTTATTGCACATACCACATATATATAGCAACCAACAACAAGGGAGATCACTATACAACAGACAACTAAACAGGCATGCCGGGACACATCTACAAGCCAAAAAACTCTTTATGAAAGCATACCGCAATCATAAATAATTAATTGACCATCATGTGATCAAAGCCACCTCCAGCTGGCAGGCCAACCCGCGGCACCTGCACATTGTGAAGCAATTGCTGCAGCCACCTTCTTGTAGTCGGATCTTCCTGAAACGAACACAGAAATAAGGAATAACATTAACTCCACTGAACACAATCAAGGGTGTGTTTTTTGGGTGATTTAGGGTGTGTTTGTTTAGCCAATTTCTCAAAATTTCTATTATTCACCAAAAAAATTTTCCCCATAAACATTAAACCAAATATTTATTTTTTATATTATACTAAAAAAATATTTATATTCAAACATCACATCAACACACCTATTTATATCACATTATAGAACTATTTCAATTCAAAATTTTTACTATCCAACTATCAACTCAAACCCCTCTCCAAAAAAAACAATAAAAAAGAAATCAAATCGAATACTTATTTTGTATTTTCACTAAAAATCAATTTTAAATTCAAAACATCATATTAAATCCTATTTATGTCACATCAAACAACTATTTCAATTCAAAATTTTACTATTCAAATCAAAATTCTAAATCAAATGACCAAACAAATACACACCAAGAACACAGGCAAGTTCCGTTTCAGAATGATAATACAGAAAAGCACTTACACGAAGACAGGCGCTAAAAGTTCCATCTCTAAGCATCTCAGGCAGGCAGCTTCTAAGTGCATCGCAGGCTCTGCATGAACAATATTGTCAGTTCATCTGATGTTTGAAATGAGGGAAAAAGATGCAATGAACCAGTTTCCGCATGCAGCCAAACCTCGGATTATCTGACAGTCGAAGATAGCATCTAATTATGTGTTTCAGCAGGCGGGAAGATGGCTGTTCTGCAAGAGCAGCAACCATATTCCCAAGCACTCTACCAACAGCAAGGAATCGCTCAGCAGTGGTGCAGATGTATTCCAAGCCCACATCATCAAGTAGTATCTTCTGCACGATAAATGTTGCCACCTGTCACAACACAAAAAAGTTCCGTTACATAAATACTAACAGAATTTTAAATTAAAAGAATGGTTAAAATCGGGTTAAGGTACTAAAACTTATCTCTGCTTACATCAAACCATATGTGAAGAGATATTTTCAAGTTAAACTTACTAATGCTATGCTTTAAAGCATTTTGGAAAGTAATCAATAAATCTTTGAGTCGAATTTACAGTAAAAACATTAATTAATTAATTAATACTCAATAAATTAATCATCACTTCAGAATATATTTAGTCCCAACTTGGGCCTTTCGAACAATGATTAATTTTTCATAAATTAATAAGATAATATCTTTTTGGAACAATCCTTCATCAATACATGAACACCCAATAAAAAATTGACATGCTTCCCGATTAATATTACCAAAAAAAAATACAATAGCTACACACTTTTGCATTATATATATAATATACATACTTTACCCACTCTAAGAAAGTAAACATTTTTAACACAAAATATTATTTTTTATATAACGATACAATTTTTCATACCCAATATAAAAAAAAATACATTCATAAAAAAACCACAAAACATACACACCCGCTATAAATCAATAATTTCTCAAATACACATGCCAAGTATGAACAATAATCCACCGAATATTATCAACATAAGTATAATGAACTTTCAGGTTTAGTCAACTCATATAATCTACATTTATCATGTAAAAATATCATGATTAGCCGTTAGTTAGTTGATTTTAGACAGAAACTTTATTTAAATTAGTAATCGGAAATATATTTTTCAAATATTTAAAAATGACCCTATAAATTAATATTTTTTAATTTATTGATCAATAAATAAATTAATAAATTTCATGGTGCCAACATTATTAATTTACAGAGGCTTTACTATATTCATCTAGCATCTCAAGGAAACTGAAAAAAAAAGGCAATTGAAAACATGCTTGGAATAAACTCAACTGTCTTTGATAATTCACTTCCCATCTCCATCGTGCGTAAGCACAATGGAATGATCTCAGTAGATAGAAGAAAGCCGATAACCTCGGTGTCATCAACCTGACAACCAAAGGAAAACACAAGACATGTTATTTAAGGAAAAAACAACATACAAAGTATCATTCTTAACCATCCATGTTGTTATAGACGAACTTAAAAGCTAATTAGAGGCTCGAGGAATACCTTGACCAAAGCACCAATTACACCTAAACTAGTAAGCCTCAAGTACTCAAATGGCCTCGATTTGCTAGTTGTATTAAGGAAAGGATACAAGTAAAGAGGAATGTGGGCTGCAAAAGGAGAAGTCATATTGACTAGATCAGAATCATCGGAAAGGCAGAATGATTATCATAAGAGTTACATTACAAATAAGTAGCATATTGACCTGCCTAATAACAGGCAAGCCATTGTAGGTTATGGTGTGCATAAACTTGGACTTAGAATTTCAGATGTAAAAACACAATAATAAGAACATAAAATAGGAACTTTGAAACTTTTACCACAGTTGTGGATAGAAACTTGAAATTTAAAACAAGGATTCGGATTTCAAAATTTCCATATTCAATCTAGTTCAAACCTAAATTCAGAAATCAGTAAGTTTTGCTGCATTTGGAATTTGAATCGAAAATTCGGAACCCAAAGTGAATTCTACAACAAAAATCCACTTTGGGTTCCGAATTTTCAAAGTCAAATTCTGAATCAAAATGCACTGGAAAATGGAAAGTTTTGGAATTTCCACACCCCCGAAGGCAGACTCAAGGCACCAAAAGACACCTGAACTCATAGTAGCTTTAGACAAAGGATCAACAAAGGAGATTTACCATTTAGAAATAGCATTCTCGTTTCTGGATGTGACGCCACACACTGCAGCATTGAAAACCAGTTTAGTAAAGCACAGAAAGGGCAAACTTTGTCCTTCTTATTGTTCGGACGGGACATGGGATAAAAAATTTCAATACTATTGCTGTTCGGTACCAACAATCACTATGCTATGCACTAATTCTAAAAAATTCCAATGTGTAGAATTAGCCAAAAAAATCTTAAGGGAATACAAAATACAATGGAAAAAAAAAAAAACAGAATTTCATATCCGGCTCCTCATCCCCGGGCATGCATACTGACATTTTGTGAAATTAAAGTCTTTCCACATCCTCAAAATTCGAAAGAATTATACCAAGAAATCTCAAAAATACATGTGGGAGGAGAATCCAAAGGAAGTGATAGAAAATACCTGAAGTAAAGCAAGTGCATTGCAAACTCTGTTCGACTGTGCAGGACTAAGATTCGGAGGAGATAAAACCGGGTAAATGTAGACAATTTCCTAGAGGAGGTAAGAACAAAACATAAGTTTCATCAATCGATCATCCCCAGAAGCCAATCCTAAGGTAATAACAAATTCAAGATAATTTAAAAATCTTGAAACGCAAATGCATCTAACATAAAATTAGCAAACCCCCATAATCTAAGGAGGGAAGATCACTTTTTAGCTGACATTGTCGAACAAACCTGGAGAAGGGCCGCAATAGTGCCGAAGGAATGCCACAGCAATGGAGCTAAATCTTGAAACAGCTCTCTCTTCTGTTCGAAATAAAATGATGGATAAGTAATGAAAAATGGTCATAATCAAGAATTGACTTGAAAAGCCACCGCCTAAGGAATTGGTGTAGAAATGCAACCGAAAACCAAATACTAAATCTTTAGCCATTAAACCTCCATAATTCAGAAATCACTGTTTTTCATATAAACATTTTCTATAGAAAACCGACATCAACATTTTTTTACATAGTTTTAAACCCTAAATTTTTATCAATTTTTTCTACTTTTTATCAAAACAATCCAAAATTCCCTGGATTTACATACCCCTGAATTGAAAATTGTTCTTCTACTAACACCAAAATAAAGCCTGAATATGGGCCATAGGAAACGCTACGATCTTTTCCGAAGCATAAATTACCCAAATTAGAAACCCTCGTTCATCGACCGATTCTCAGGGCGAAAAATCCGCATAGTTAAAAACAGTATAAATAAAAATAGGGGAACAGAGAACCTTGGAGAGTTCGAGGAGTGCGTTTTCCCTGAGATCAGGATTGCATATATCGAGAACCAGCTGCTCCGCCGTTTGCATCCTCCTGTCCTTGTTGACGGCGGCGGCGGCGGCGGCGGCGGGAGAGCTACTGCCGCCCTCAAATGGAGCAGCTTGCAAGTTGAGCGGCGGAGGAAGATGCGCCATATGGTCTTCACCGGTGAGTCGATTCATTCAGATCTGTCGGCGACAAGAACGATGTCTGAAGCGGTGGAGTCGGCCATATATATAGGCAGTCTTTATTTTTTAAAAAGAATGTACGGAAATAATAATAATTATTATTATAATTATAATAGAAATAATATTATGTCACTATCTATTCTAAGGTCTGATTTGTAAGCGGTTTTGGATTTGAATTTTAACTTGCGATTTGAATAGATAAAAATTTAAATTTCAATAGTTTTATTATGTGATATAAATAGAGGTTGATATTTGTTAGCACTCTCAGCCTTCTTCTGATGGTCATATTTAGATTTGTTAGCACCAATAAAAGTATTTTTGCAATTTTTTTAATTTGTAGTTTTTATTAGATTGTATGATATAAAAGTAACGATTATATTAATTATATTATGTAGATAGTACAGTTACTAAATTACTAACTTAGGAAATGATATTACAAAAATAAAAAATTGTATCCTACTATGGGACGAAAGGAGTATTTGGTTTGATGTTTTGGGGCGAAAAAATGAAATGAATAGTAAATTTTACAAAATTCTTCAAACAAACACACCCTAATTCGACTTGAATATCTTTCCTTATATAGATATTTTTAAAATTTTTGTTTCATAGGGTGTGTTTGTTTGGGGTTTGGATTTTAAATTGAGATTTAAATAGTAAAAATTTTGAATTTGAATAGTTGTATGATGTGATATAAATAGGTGTTGATGTTATATTTTGATTTTTAGTATAATATAATAAATAAAAAATAATTGTTTGATTTGATATTTTTGAAAAATAATAATGTATTTAAAATCCAATTCGAAAAGAAACACACCCTTATTGTACTTAAAACGGATATAATACTGATACTAATAATAATATGGTATCTTGTGTTAAACATTTTTAAAATTTTTGTTATTTTTTTATAATGCGTTTAATATGGAATAATAATAATGATGATAATATGGCACCGTGTATTCTAATTCGATTCGAATACTGCTTTTATATACTTCTCCGTCTCGAAACTAAGTATCATTTTGCTTTTTGTACGTAGTTTTAGAAATATTACTATTATATTAGAATATAGTAAGAATAAAGTAGAAATGACTAAAATAAAGTATATGTGATATAATTGTAATGACATTTGTGTAATATATTGTAAGTTGCAAGGGTATTTGTAATGTTAGATAGAAAGTACAGTTACTAAAAAAAGAAATAAATACTTTGTTATGGAACAAACTAAAATAGAAAAATTATGGGACGAAAGGAGTATATTTTTTGATTTGTTTTTGAAATTTTTAATATTTTTTTATACTATATTTAATACGGAAATAATAATAATAATAATACCTTGTATTCTAATTTGACTTGAATATCTATTTTCTTTATGTTTATACAGGGAATTCGTGTTATGCACGGGTAAATATAAATTATATTGAATTATGAAAATTAATTATTGTTATTAAATACTCTCCCCGTTTTATTTCTCGTGTCCATTTTTTCATTTTCGTCCGTCCCATTTATTTTGTCACTTTTCTTTTTTGAAAAATAATTATACACTTTAATCTTATTTTTTAAAATTTAATTTATAATTTTTTAAACTTTAATTATACTAATCAATTATTTTAATTTTAATATATAATTATTTTTATTATACGATAATTATTTTCACACATTTTTAATTATTTACTAATTATACCCCTCTTAAATTCCTGTGTCTACAGTAACGTGGACAAAATATCCGAGACGGAGGGAGTATATAATATTTTAATATGAGAATCATTTAAATAAAATTAAAATATTTTACACGATTAATTTTTAATATTCTAAGTATTTGAAGATTAATGAATTCTATGAATTAAATATAGATATTGCAAAAATGATATTTATATACTACATCCTTTCCGTAACAAATTATTTATTTTTCCATTTTAGTCTGTCTCATTACAAATATCCTTACAATTTACAGTATATTACACAAATGTCGTTGTTATTCATATAATATAAGCAATTTTTAAAATTATAATTTAGTTGAAAAATGTGTCTGTAGAAAATTTAAGATATCTTAACAGAGTTAAAGTCAAATTTCATTAACTTGTCATTGTTATTTTAATATAATTAAATTATAAAATAATTTTTTCATTCGGGATATTATGCCGTATTTTTATCCGTTAACTTATGCATGATTCATTTATAATACAAAATTATGCACCCACAATTTTATTATTCTTATTTCTTAGTTTGCATGTCCAGATAATATAACATAGTCCCAATGAAGGAAGTAAAAAATAATATATAATCTACTTGTTTATCCTATATTGAACAATATAGACTAATTTAAATATTATTATTGAAAATTTGATTTATCATCTTTTCAATATATTTATCTTTATAATATTACATATATAACACATAAATAAAATCACATTTTTATACATAATTGTTACTCCCTCCGTCCAAGAATATGTTTGACACGAGATTTAAAAAATATTGATATTATATTGGTAGTAGGTAAAAAAGTACTGATAAAAGACTTTTTTGCCATTACGAGTGTATTAGTGTAAAAAATAGTGACAATTGTGACAATTGTATAATAATAATGAAAAAGTAAAAGTAATTTTATAGTGACATGATTATTTATGAAAATGAGACTATTATTTTGGAATTGACAAATATGATAAACACGACTATTGTATTGAAATGAATAAAGTATTAAATTGAAATTTTTTTATTATTAAAATAATAATTATTATATTATTATTATTATTATTTTACAGTTCACTTACCTGTCTTTTTTTTCTTTTTTATTTATTATTTAAATAGTGGACTCCATAAAAAAAGATAAAAAGAATAGAAGTAAGTATTTATTGCCATGATAAAACACAAAATCAACGCTAAATATATATATATATTAGATTTTTAAATTTTTGTTACGGTTTCCATAATACTTTATTAAATATTTTTGTTTAATTATAAAATAATTATTTTAAAACTATATTACTATTGTTATTATATTATTATTATTATTATTATTATTATTATTACATAAAAACATTATTATTGTTTAAGTTTATCAAAAATAAATAAATAAATATTCTTTTATAATACGCCTTCCGTCCCGTCCCGTGAAGACCTCTTTTATTTTTTTTTTTCCGTCTCATGATAATTAATTTTTTTATTTTATTTGTAGTAAATTTATTCATCAATATACTTAACAAATATAAATCGATTTAATTAAATTTCTTAACCGATCCATTCAAAATTCTTTTTTTTTTATTACTCTTTTTCATAAATAAATATTTTTATTTATATTTAAATCTCTTTATTTTTTTTTCTAAAATTAGTTTTTGAGTTATATATAAATAAACAAATAAATATATTTATGTTATATAAAATTTTATTATTCGTATATATTTTATTGAAATATAATATTAGAAATATTTAAAATATCAACAATAATATTCATATAAAAAATAATAAAATAAAATAACAATTTATTATTAATAATTTATTTTTTTTAACACTAGCTAAATAACTGAGTCCCTAAATAAAAAGGTCATCATATACACTGGACACAACGCAGGTAGTAAATAAATATAAAAATAATAAAAGTACTAAAAATGATATAGTATTTTTTATTAAAAAAATATATATATATTTCTTTTATGACATATGAAAGTACTTTTTTTACTAGTATTAATTTTAAATTTTCTTAGAGTTTGTTTGTTTAGAGTTTTGATTTGAATTTTTTTGATGTAAAATATAGAAAATTATATTAATAATATAAAAAATAATTTATATTAAATTTTGATTTTTATGAAATAATAAAATTATATATTGAAAATCGTATTGGAAAAAGAAATATATGTCGCTAATTAAACAAATCCTTAGAACTTCAAAAGTTTCTGTTTAAATAGTGATTTTTATTTAGGTTTTGTTCTTTTTATATTATTTTCGCACATTTTTTTCAAAAAAATTAATACACTACATAATCATTATTTTTATATTCCATACACAATTTCCTATACTTTATATTAAAAAATTTTATTTTCAACAATTTCACAAAACAACTGTACCCTTACTCTGTAATTTATATTTTTTCTATCAGTCAAAATTATATTAGTATTTATTTTGTTTAGTTGTGCACTAAATTTATGTAAATACTTTATTTCCTCATAATTTTATCATTCATATTTTAATAAATAATAACACTTTTTTCATTATTTTTTTATACTTATCCATTATTTTTTTTATCAACTCTTTAATAAACTTAAAATGGTGTATTCAATCGTGATTTTGTAAGATTTTATTGGATTTTTAAAATTTGAATGTATGCAATTTAAACTTTTAAAATCTAGAGTATTCCATTCAGATTTTTAAAAATTTTATTCAATTCATACTTTTAAAATCTCTTAAAATCTTACCCTATTTAACAATTCATAGACTTTAAAAATATGTAAATTTTATTGTATTTTAATAAAAAATTATGAAGAACTATACAATATAAAATATATCATGATAAGTAGAGATTTTAATGGATTCTTAAAAATATATTATTATTATTATTAATAATAAATATCATGATAATATTTATTACTCCCTTCCGTTCCAGATACCGTGTCTGCTACAATGTAGACACGGTATTTTAGGAGGGGTGTAATTAGTAGATAATTAAGAATGTATTAGTGAAAATAATTATCTTATAATATAAATAATTATAAATTAAGATTAAGATAACTAATTAGTTTAATTAAAATTAAAAAATTTAAAAATTTAAAATGAGATTAAAGTGTGTAATCATTTTTCAAAAAAGGAAAGTGACACGGTATGTGGAAAGGACAAAAACGGCAACGTGGATATGGTATCTTGGACGGAGGGAGTAATACTTTTATAATATTATAATAAAATAATAATAATTTCAAAAATTAAAATATGCATCCATCTCTTCCTTTGCAGGCATTTCATTGTATTGGAGGAGAATACAAAAACAGTAAGTTAATTAATTTCATGTTTGGATTCAAACTTGATGACCTCTGTTTAATACGTTTATTTACAT